TCCAGTTTCACTAAAGCCCTCAATGTGATGCGCGCGGTTGCGTGCGGAGCTAAACTAATTGTAAGATATTTGGAAGGTGTGTCCCATGAAATTCAGATTGTCCAATTTCGCTAGAGGTTGTCGCGTAATGCGCGCAGTAGCCTGCGGAATAAAAATAGTACTTGTCATAAATTCGTAAATATCCAGCATAGATATCGAGCTCGGATGGTTAGCGGTCTATTGAATTTCCACAACTGAAGAATCTTTATTAAGTGAAATATAATCAATCAATCAGGATCCAATCGAGCTATGATGGAAATTGCAAATATAATGGAAATTCGCTGTTAGTCCAAGTGCAGATAGTTGAGCAGCCCAACTTTCTTAGCTTCTTAGCTTCTTTGAATGAAAAGATAGGAATGGGACATATTCACGTGCTAGGGACCTGGTTTAGTTCAGCTGAGTGCACGCTCAATTTTCGCTACTTTTATCAGTACAGTTGCCGCTCATACCACTTTCTGTCGCCTAATTTCAACCTCGCCACCTTAATCGCTTGCCAGTGATAATTATAACAAAGTTGGAGAGACCTGCATTCAGACGCTCATATCATTCCCGTGTGCAATTCGGCTTTTATTTGTCGTGTCTGCGGTGTCTGTGTGTCATTTGTTATCAGTTCATACTGCTCGCAATCGGTGTCCCCATCCCACCCTCCAGGCAACGTGCAGGAGCTCGTGATTTATTGTCAACACGAAGGCTACAACGAAATTAGCGGTACTCAAAATCCTAACTTCCTTATCAACCGTTATCGCTTGTTATCACTTCTGATCATCCACTATCCGTGTTCCCGTCCCATCCCCTATACCACATGTGAGAGCCAAGGTCCAATGTAACTGCGAGGGCCGCAACGAAACTGGTGGTATCCACACTTTGACGCCCCTTATCAGTTCTTATCAGTTGCTACCACATTCGTTCACTCAACTTCTTGGTCCCCGCCTCACCCCACATATCATGCATGAGTGCAAACTGTCCACCGTCAACGCAAACGGCGTAACGAAATTGATGACATCATCATTTCGGCGTCCGTTATCAGTTCCTATCAGTAGTTATCACTTCCCGCCACCCATCATCAGTGTTTGTGTCCAGCCCCCCATATATCCTAGAAGTTTGAGCTCTCTGGGTCCAAAGGGAGGGAAGTTATGAATTTCCGGTCAGACACACACACACACACACACACACACAACCGCTTAGCCGATTATATATAGTAGGATATTATTAGCTCTCGCTTTTACTCGTATCCTCTACGGGGGATGTTGCAATGTAGCCCAGTCTAACTGTCGCGCTTTTTACTCTCTGGAGAAACCTGCAATATAAAAGTCATGCGTTCAGGAAGCTGTACGATTTGCTGATCAATTTGACGATGGTCGAAGCAGCACGACTGTCAAGAATTCGTGTCGTTTCTTATCGAGCGGTTCCATACGTGTGTAGCTCGTATTGAGCACAATAATTCCGCTGGAGATAGCGAAAGCTCAGAAGGGACAGCTGAAAGCGAAGCAACAACCAGCGACACAACGAGGATTGCAATTGCGAAGACGCTGCGACAGATGAAGAGAAGGCAGAGAAGGTGAGCAGGCTGGCAAAAAAAATTTATTGAAAGATTCTCGGTCATGAGACTAATCCCAAAGATGCGGGTGCGTAGCTCTGCTTTTTAATGGGTGAAACACAAAAAAGCTTAAATCTGGTTAGGAACTACGGACGCAGCCTCAGAGCCTTAACAATGAAAGAAGCTGCGGGAATTGCAAAAGTACTGTTTCCTAGTGGATAGCGTACTGGCGAAGGCCTACAGATTTTGAGCATAAAGGGGAGGTTCTTCAATTATTAATACGTTTTTCAGTCGTGGGAGCGTTATATTCGAGATAACCAGTCGTTGGTGACGTCATTATTCTCAGGTTTATTTCTTGTGTTTTTCTAATTTTGTTTTTACCTAGTTACTTTTTATCTGCATTACCATTTCTCTTTTCGTTGTTCTTGTCTGTGTCTTCCCACTACTAGTGACGCCTCTCAGAAGTTGCGTATAAGCTTATGAAAGTAGTTACAAAGCAATTAAATTCATTGCAAAACTTTGAAACCACAGTGGAATGCAAAAAAGCTCAAATTTCAGAAATATTTTGCGCGAGTTCCATGTATTCTATGCTCTGTAGTTGTGCGACACAAGCGGTGCTCATGCGTCCCATGAGCGAAGTGATTGTCTCAGACAAAGCTGAAAGCTTTAATTGCTCTGCTAAATATAACTCTTTCTTTCAGGTCAATTGCGATCACGTTTAATTTGCCGTAAATGCAAGTCGTCATCTTCGGTGTTCGAAGTTTTCACCTCTCTCAGCCTTCCAATCGGTTTCGAGAATGTGGAACTTTATCAGATCATTGGTAATGTTGGAACTATTTCGTTCAGTTTTTAATATACAAATGCGAGCAGTGTGAGAAGAAGCTAAGGAGCGTCTAGCTTTTAACGACGCGCACCATCTATATTGTCCTTGGATTCGAATACTGCTACGGCCAACCAGGTCTTATTTTCATGTGTGATCCTTTGGTACTCGACCCGTTGTCTGGGGAAAAATCACATGCCAATACATGTAGATCACTTACTCTACTGCGTAGCAGTTGAAGCATGGGGAGCATAGCTGTTGAAATGAGCCAGATTCTTCTTTTTGAGTAAATTTACGGTTTCCGCGTTGAACTCTACCCTCAACCTTCTATATTCCAGTGGTTCGCCGTGATGGGAGCGTTCCACGTCGATATGGATTTCGATTGCCAAGAGAATGTACAGTAGGCACATTCAAAGGTCTTGTAGCTGAGGCAACAGGAGTGAATCGGAACGCGCTAACGATACAATGCCTCAGTAAGAGAGGGTATTTCATGGTAAGTTCACAAGGAAGTGAAAAAATTGGCTCATCTGTTTGCTATTTATGTAGAATCCAATCAACACTGAAGATGACGCAGCATTGAGTTCTGTGCCATCCGGTGGTCGTCTTTATGCGCTTCATCTGCCGGAGGACACTCCCGAATGGCGTGTGGCAATTCATAGAAAATTGGTATGTTTTCTGAACTACGCAGATTTGTTCATTTGCTGCTATGCTACTTGGTACTATTCACTACTGTGTTTGTTTTCATATAAGTCAAATCTGCTAGAAATTAGAAGCGACATATGATGAGCCTGCCTCTTGAAGCGATATTCCATCAGATTACGTCACATAGTTTGATTGCTTATCCTTTTTTAGCAGTACAACTACGAACCGTATTTCCTTGGGTCCACTGGCGGCTTTGTTGTCACGCAGTTCGGCTTGCCGCTGATCGTACCCTGCCCTCCAAAGATCACTGGAAAGGAGTTGTACGAAGATGTGATGAGCCAAGTAAGACTGATATTTGATTTTTCGCCACAGCAAGGTTGTGTTGAGCTGCTGGGCTGTCAAGATAATTACGCACCTCACGACTTTAATTCCATAGCATCACTGGCAGAATTGAAAATTTTGAAGTGATGTACTCAAAGCGCTCTGTGAAAGACGATTATACTGACGTGTTTGTTGCCAACCAAGCTGGTCATTTTCTTGGGTTCATCGGTAGTTGCAAATATATTCATAGTCATGTGAAGTGATTATACGAAACATTCAAGCGGCTTCTTATATCTGTTCGACCTCACGAAGCAATTTTTTACAGATGCGCAGATTTATGGACGTTTCATCTCCAGCGATATCGAGTAGAGCGCATGATCCGTGAGTTTTCTTGGAGGCAAGATTCAGGAATACTAGGAATAAATTATGAGGTAATTCCACTCAAATGTGAAAGTAGGGGTAGGAAGTGGACCGCCAGTGGAGAAAAAAAAAAAAAAGTCGTGAAATGCACAGGAAATACGAGCCTTTTGCTCTACGCTGGAAAGTTCAAAAGGCCGGCAGGGAGAGATGAGAGATAATGTGAGCGCGGAGAGCGCTAGAGAAGTACGAGTAGAGAGAACATAGCAGATCAAGTTAGCGACAGATATCGAGCGGGTGGGCGGAGCGTGTCGCAACAGGTGGAGCGTGTCAAAGTTCTTAGCGCCTAGCGTCTAAATAACGCTTTTCGAAGTAGGGAAGTGACGCGACCTCTACACTTGCGTACCTAGCGCTTCTAGCCACCGTAAAGGCTCATTAAGTGGGTCTGAGCCCGAACTTTGCCTTTAAGCGAGCGATTCCACATGTTAACTGGGTTACTTAAGAATCTGCGAGTAATGCCCAATAATCAAGCTTTGCGTATTTTTATCTCCAACTAACTTCCATACTGTAGAAGTTGACACCTGTCTGAGAAAATATTTCCAAGAGCACCGCATGATAGGTCATGAATTGAAATTTATTTATTTATTTATTTGCTTGCACGACCGGTGTCCAAGAACATAGTCCTCAGATGGAAACAGATAAAAATAGTTATTAGTCCATCAAGCTACGAAAAGAAAGGCCAGATAGAAAGAGGTTAACTGTAATCACGAAACCTGGTTGCTTTGAAAAAAATCCTCCATGAAACCAGTGCATGCTTCAAGCTGAAGTGAAGTAAGCTAATAAGGGTTGCGAGATGAGTGAGATCGATTGAGACAGCCTAGTTAAGAACCATGAAGATAACCAAGCCCAAGGCCGCAGCATGAGGGCGGATGCCAGTGCATCTCATTGACCTAAACACGGACCCAGCACGCTGGCTTAGTGGTGCTCCAGAGCAATTAACTGAGCGAATAATTAAATATGTACTCCGATCCTATCATTGACGTAGTAGCAACCCCGGGTCGAATCAAGAGACTGCAGGGCCGGGTGCAGCAAGCCCCAACTAGGGGAGGGATCCCCAACCTTGGGGACATATCCCCAACCTTGGGGATCCCTCCCCTCACCCAACCTTGGGGATATCCCCAACCTTGGGGATATATCCCCAACCTTGGGGATATATCCCCAACCTTGGGGATATATCCCCAACCTTGGGGATACATCCCCAACCTTGGGGACATATCCCCATCCTCGACATTCTACGAATCGTTCAAGGGTTTCGTCGCAGGACCCAGGGCTTCCGCATCTCGAAGGCTCACGGACCATTAATGTTTCGTAGCACTATGGCAGTTTCGAAATACAATGGCCACGGCACACATAGCGAGCGTTGCTATTTCGTCATGGTCTTTGAAGGTGGCTGAGCGTCCTTTCACATCGTTAACCATTTTTCTTCAATTGCCTTTCCCTCTTTTTTTTGATTCTGTGGTTTCTTCTGGCTCAGTGTGGCCCCGTGAATGGTGTCAGATTCACGGAAACGCTCAGTTTTGGGGCTGACCCTTAGAGGAGAAGAGATAATCCGAAGTGTCTAAGCAGTCTTCCTTCTCAAGCTCTGCCTTCTCCCTTCTCACGTTGAACAAACTGCATCGTGATGCCCCCTAACTAGAATATACCCCGCCAATTTTCGCCGAACTTCTAAAATTCCTTTTTTTAGCGCAACGAGCGGTGGATCCCGCGCCACGCCCTCCTCTCGCAGAGGCACATTGAGCCTTTCCTAGGCACTGTTCACACATTGCGCCACAGCCGAATGACGCTCAAAACGAACGAATCTGCGCAAATGCGAAATGAATGAAATGCGTATCGATCTACAAAATGGGAGGAGCATCGAATCGCGCAAAATCTGCGAATCCTTTTAAAAGAAATGGGTGTCTATCGACCGAGTCAATCGGAGATCGACAGCGCGAAACGGCGGTGCAAAAATCCTCCAGCAACGCTAATACAGCGTGCTCTACAATGTCGACACGCATCGCATTTTAATCCTTTTCGCATCTGCTTTCGCGCGTGCGCAGATTCTTAACCCTTTCGGACCTGAATTTTTCCCCGTGGAGAAATTTTACTTCTAGCTATTGTTTTACTTGTGAGCATATAGGTATCATTATGGCGAAATTTGGAAGCTATTCGATCACAAACAAAGAAACTGCTTTGAAAATTGGCCCACCTTCTTAGTTTTTAAGCTTATGTCGAAACAATTCGAAGTTTCATAGTTATGCCGAAAAAGTTTATAATCTTGCATAATATTATAACCCATAATTTTGATTTAGGAATGGATCTACTTCAAGTATTTTAAGAAAAAGTCACACTTACTTGGCCGGTTGCGGGGGTCAGCGCCCATTCACTGTTGCACTTGTACACAAATACTTGTAATACTAACAGCAATAACAATGAAATGGCAGGTTAAGCTCATAATTAGGAAGGGGAAGGTTGACTGAAGCAAACTCTAGCAGGATTAGAAAAACTATGCTGTTTCAGCGGAAATGCAAGCGTTTGAATTTGGTGGTGGCAATTGCCACCGCCAGGGCCGAAAGGGTTAATGTTGATATGTATCTGATTCTTTTCGCAAATTTGAATATTCGATAATTTTAAAACTGTGAACAGTGCTTAGAAAACAGCGAATGAACAAAGGCAAGGTAATGGCGAAAAAAGAAATGCGAATAACGAAGCGAAATAGAGGGTGAAGAAACCCGAAACTGCCTTCAATTCTCCGCGTCGCCAAGTGAGGGGACGAATCCCCCTAGTCTCGACTAGGGGGATATATCCCCTGCCTGCAGAGACGCAGAGGGTCGACGGCAGTGACCGTCCCGCACGGTTGCGTCACAGGAGCCACCGAAAAACGATGGGTCTTGCGACGAAGTAGGGGATATATCCCCAAGGTTGGGGATATGTCCCCAAGGTTGGGGATATATCCCCAACCTTGGGGATATGTCCCCAACCTTGGGGATATATCCCCAACCTTGGGGATATATCCCCAACCTTGGGGATATATCCCCAACCTTGGGGATATATCCCCAACCTTGGGGATATATCCCCAAGGTTGGGGATCCCTCCCCTCGTTGGGTGAGGGGAGGGATCCCCAAGGTTGGGGATCCCTCCCCTAGTTGGGGCTTGCTGCACCCGGCCCGCCAAGCAGAAGATCGCTTCATCAAGATTAGATGTAAACGCAAACAGCAGTATAGTGAAGCATGCAAGTCCATAGCGAGGAAGCATTAGCTACATTGAGTGGACAACATAACAGGAAAACCTCTCTCTAACTGACACGTATTTCAAGTTACCGACGTGCGCAATCGACCGAATGTGTTAGCAAAGAACAGATCAGCGTCACAATAGTAAAGAAAACAAATGCAACAAAACAAACTTGTACAGAACTATGGAAACCCGTGTTAAATAAACAAGGAATCAATAAAGCAAAAGTTAGAACACTAGAAGTCGGAGATACCAAGCAAATTCATAAGATCTAATTTCAACAGTCCTCTTTTGAAGAGTGATACCCTCTCCATACGTAAAAGATCCAATGGCAACTTATTCAACCAGACTGAAGTTCTGTGGAAGAACGAATGTCTGCAAATGTTATTAGAGAACCGACCTCGGTACATAGATCTGGAAACATATATGTTTAAACATGGTCTTCTAAGAGATGAAGGTTTGAATCGCCAGAACTTAGAAGAAGTAAGACGAGACTCACCTCTAAGTATTCTAAATGCCAAAACTAAATCCGCAAAAGTACGTCTGTATAAGAGACTTCTCAAAGCAAGTTCTCTGAGACGTATTCTGTAATGTGGCATGGACCTAGGGTAACCTGGATCTGGAAACACACGATAATAAACAAGCCTTGTGAAGGTCATTTGCACTTTTTCAATCTTCACAATAAGTTTTCTTGAGTGAGGGCTCCATACCTGACTGGAATACTCAAGAATGGGAAGAACATAAGCTTTATACAGCCTGATTAGGATGGTCAAGTCTGACGTCCTGACTATCCTAAACAAACTGTGGAGGCACCGAAGAGCTTTAGAAACTATACCCTCAATATGACTTTCCCAATTCATCGACCTCGATACAGTTATCCCCAGATCACGAGCCTGACTGACTATACTAGATGGAGGTAATCCCTCAATAGCAAAATGAGGCAGTCTTTTACCCAGAGTAAGCACACAAGTTTTTGCAAAGTTGAGCTTAAGACCCCATTCATGAGTCCATGAGGACATACGGGACAGAACGTCATTCATCAAAGTTGGCATAATAGCGAACTGGCCACTGTCAAAGCTAGTAAAGGCTTTGACGTCATCAGCAAAGGCATACACCTTGATATCAGGGGTGAATGCAAGCGCCGATGGAAGATCCATCGTGTACATTAAATGAATACAACTTTATGAATACAACTTTATTTCCTCATGTAAACTTTATTAGCACAAGTGAAGGTCAGCTTCCTATTCTGTTTTCTGGACCTGTTCAGGCATATTTCTAGGCTTTTTG